CCCATTGTGGACAACGGATTCGCTTAACGACTGCTGCATCCACTTAGCGGCTGCGGTGGTTCAACTTAATGACCATCACCCCCCAAAAATTTGCAAAATCGGGCATGGTCCACTTACTGGCCCAGCACCACCTTACAACTCTTAACCCTGGGCTCAATTATGGTCGTAAGTCGAGGACTACCTGTATGGTTCTTGTGCTTCTTATAAGACTAGTTTGGGAGATAGGTAGCTGAGAGCAACCTATAAAAGCAGGTTAAGAACAAAACACTGAATTTTAGGGATTTGGGGGTTTGATATCTGGATGATCAGGCCCCATCCCTTATCCCCCATAGCCCCTATCTCTATAGAAAGGGCATTTTTCAGCCCTTTAAGATACAGAATAAACTTAATAAATTCTAAATCAGAGTTTGCCACGACTGGACATCCCTGGTTTAAGAATATTTAGATAGATAGATAGATAGATAGATAGATAGATAGATAGATAGATAGATAGATGATAGATAGATAGATAGATAGATAGATAGAGATAGATATAGATATAGATATATATAACCTTATCCTGCTTGGCTGGGGAATTCTGGGAATTGAAGTCCACAAGTCTTAAAAGTGGCCAAAGTTGGACGCCCCTGTTCTGAATTACAGAATTATCAACCCATTCGGGTGGCCCTTTGATCTGTAGCCATGTTATTTTGGTGTCGGCGTCTGTGATTCCTTTATCTTCCAGGAACAAGAATCGATCCTGGTCCGGGCTCTCTTCCCCCCCGCCCCCCACCCCCCCAGTTAAGTGGAATGCATGACCTCATTCCTTAATATTCTTCGGCATCTCTGTCCCCCAGCAAAGGGCTCTGTTCTTTGTTCACTAATTTCTGAGTCTGAACTCCTGCATCGCTCAGCCTTTCTCAGCCGGGTTTTCCTCCTTGGTCCACTTCCTTTTTCCTGCAAGGGATTTAGAAAGCGTGGAAAAAACCCATCCTGCCTGCAAACTCGGCTACCCTCCGAAAAGTTCTGAAGAAGAAAAGTTCTGAAGACCACAAGTTTATTCCTCCCACTTCCAGTTTCCCTAATGGGCTGGGCTTCTCCAGACTGGGATGCAGTAAAAATAAAAGGGAGGGAGAGGGGGAAGGGAGAGAGAAGGAAGGAGAGAGGAGGAAGAAAGGAAGGAGGAGGAAGGACGGAGAGAGCGGGAAGGTAGAGTAGGAAGGAAGGAGAGAGAGAGGAGAAGAAAGGAAGGAGAGGAAGGAAAAGGAAGGATGGAGAGAGGGAGAAGGGAAGGAAGGAGAGAAAAGGAAGAGAGGGAGGGAGGGAGGAAGGGGAGAGAACAGGGAGGAAGGAGGAAGAATAGGAAAAAGAAACAGAGGGAGAGAAGGAAGAAAGGAGAGAGGAGGAAGAAAGGAAGGAGTAGGAAGGAAAAGGAAGGATGGAGAGAGGGAAGGGAGAGAAGGAAGGAAGGAGAGAGGAGAAGAAAGGAAGGAGTAGGAAGGAAAAGGAAGGACGGAGAGAGGGAGAAGGGAAGGAAGGAGAGAGAGAAGGAAGGAAGAGGGAGAGAGGAAGGAAGGAGAGGGGAGGGAGGGAGGAAGAATAGGGAAAAGGAAACGAGAGAGGGAGAGAAGGAAGGAAGGAGAGAGAGGAGGAAGAAAGGAGGGAGGAGGAAGGAAAAGGAAGGACGGAGAGGGAGAAGGGAAGGAAGGAGAGAGAAGGAAGGAAGAGGGAGAGGAAGGAAGGAGAGAGAAAAGGGAGGGAGGGAGGAAGAATAGGGAAAATGAAACGGAGGGAGAGAAGGAAGGAAGGAGAGAGAAGGGAGGAAGAAGGAAGGAGAGAAAAGGGAGGGGGAGGAAGAATAGGGAAAAGGAAACGGAGGGAGAGGATGAAGGAAGGGGAGAAAAAAGCAAGGAGAAGGGACAGAAGGAGAGAGGGAGAGAAGGAAGGAAGAAGGGAGGGAGTGATGGAAGAAAGAAGGAGAGGGGGAATAGGGAAGGAAGCCCATGCTCCACTATGGACCATGGATGACATCTAATCCCTCGTGGGCCTTTCTGAGCTTTGGAGGAGAGAAATTTGGGAGATTTCTCGAAGTCAAAAAAAAGTTTGGGAAGCCACTCCAGTTGTGCGTAGCCGTGAAGGAAAACCAGACAACAATACACACTGTGATGTTTCGCCCAGTCCGCTCAGCCAAGATTTTGCTTCGCACCCCCTGATTGAACCACCTGTAATTGGCCACCTTCCTGCAACATCCTCAGTCGTAAACTATGGTTTGCAAACCGCAATTGGCACGATGCTTGTAGCCCAGGGGGGAAAAACCCATGTCGATTCAAGAAGATTTTGGCTTCTTTTGAGCTCTCTCTCTCTCTCTCTCTCTCTCTCTCTCTGACGCCACCAGTCTTGTGATGAAGTCAAACAAAGATAGCGGCAGTTTCCCCCACTGGAAATAAAAGTAACACAACCCACACCCACTCTGAGCAACACACAAAAGTACACAATATTCCTTAAACCGCTCAGATATCCGCCTATCAACGCAGGGAAGGATTACAGGGAGACCTGGACTTACAACAATTCGTTTAGTGACCCTTCACAGTTAACCACGGCACTGGAAAAAGTGACCTGTGACCATTTTTTCACACTTAACGACCATTGCAGCAATCGTCGCAATTCAGACACTTCGCAACTGACTCACATTTACGACGGTTGCAGTATCCCGGGGGGGGGGTGTCCCGTCATCCCCTCTTGGCGACCTTCCGACGAGGAAAGTCAATGGGGGAAATGGGATTCGCTTAACAACTGCAGTTGATTCGCTTAACAACCGTGGCAAGAAAAGTCGTAAAATGGGGCAAAACCTCACTTGACAAAGGTCTCGTTTAGCAACGTAAATATCGGGGGTTAATTGGGGTCGTACGTTGAGGACTACCTGTACAGGAGGAGAACCAAGGTCAGGTCTGTTCCCAACCAGGTTCGCGCGGTCTAACCTTGGGCCAGAGGCGGGCCTTTAGCCCCGGCCTGCCTCTCAGGGCTGTTGTTCTCGAAGCACCCTTGGAGGCAGGGACCGGCTGTCCCTTATTCTTTCCACATCTCTGCAAGCAGAAACTCAAAATGTTATCCTGTAGATTAGCAAGGTTTTGTAATCGAAATGGGGAAGGCAGTTTGGGGCTGGGACCAGGAAATCTAATCAAAAGGAGAACCAGATCAAAAGAAAAAGGGGAAAAAAAAACAAAAACAGATTACATTCTCAAGGGCACCGAAAAAGAAAGCACTTTCCCTGAGATCTAATACTTTCTGGGCTGCCATTCTCCAGACTTCTTCAACCGGTTGGAGAAGGCTGGTGTTGAGATGTGGCTTATCCTGGTTCTAGCCTGACCATGATTTCCCCTTGTCCGGAACTAAGGTATTTGGTGCCCGTATCTCTATATTCCCTTTTGGGGGGAAAAAAACAAACCCTCCTCCAATACATAATCGGTGGTATAAATTTATTTCTTGGCTTGGAATCCGGCTATTAAATTCTTGTGCGTTTAAATATTGGCTTTTTTGTTGTGCCACTCGGCTTACCTGCTTCCTGTCTTTCCATCTCTTACCTGCGTTTGGCATAGGAAACCGAAAGGAGACGGACACGTTACGGGTAGTCCTCGATTTACGAGCCCTAAATTTCTGTTGCTGAGCGAGACAGCGGTTAAGTGAGGTTTTTTTTCCCCCCTCACTTTCTCGCCACGGTTGTTAAGTGAATCGCTGCGTTGTTAAGTGAATCACCCGGTTGTTAAGTGAATCCGGCTTCCCCATTTGACGTTGCTCGTCGGAAGGTCGCAAAAGGGGATGGCGTGACCCCGGGGACACCGCAACCGTCATAAGTACATGCCAGTTGCCAAGCATCTAAAGTTTGAGCATGTTAGACTACGGGGATGCTGCAAGATTCATCAGTGTGAAAAGAGGTCCTAAGTCATTTTTTTCAGTGCTGTTCTGACTTCGAACGGTCGCTAAATCAACGGTTGTAAATCGAGGATTACCCGTATTCCTTCGGGTTTTTTTACGCAGGGCATTATTTCCCAAGAGAGAGAGAGGAAAAAAAGATATTTTCTGCTTTTTCTCCCATCTCCTTCCAAGTTAATGGTCTTTGCCTTCGATCATTCCTTGCAACCAGGAAATAGTTGTAGCCATTTGCCGTGTACCTAAAAATATATTGCAGATGATGGATTTTTATCAATTCTCCCAATATTTTCCTAAAAGGCAGAGTAGTTTGAAAACTTAACACGGGTCACGAAGCAGTTGGAAGCCTGCAGCCTAAAATCCTCCTGGTTCTTCTTTCAGACCGAGAAACTTTGCTTGTTGCTTGCTTCTAAGGTCATTGCTTAAAAATATGCAGAGAGAGAGAGAGAGAGAGAGGGACGGCTGATTGTAAAATGAGAAAGAGAGAGAGAAAGAGAGAGAGGTGGATAGAGAGAGAGAGAGAAACATGGATGGATGGGTGGGTGTGCTTGTGTGGGTGGGTGTAGAGGAGAGAGAGAGAGAGAGAGAGAGATGTAGACAGAGATTGAGCCATGAATGGGTGCCTGTGTGTATAACAGAGTTGGGACCTTGGAGGTCTTCTAGTCCAACCCCTTGCTCAATCAGGAGACACTTTACCAGATGGCTGTCTTGTCTTTTCTTAAAAACCTCCAGTGATGAATCACCCATAACTAAGGGAAGCAAGTTAAATTGTGTGCGTGTCTATATGTGTGTATATAGGAAGGAAGGAAAGGAGGGGGAGGGGGAGAGGAAGGAAAGAAAGAAAAAGGAAGGAAGGAAAGAAAAAAAGAAAGAAAAAGAAAGAAAGAAGGATAATATGTAAATTTCTTTCAAAGAAAAAGGAAGGAAAGGAAGGAAGGATAATATGTAAATTTCTTTCGAGGCAGGGTGACTTGAAATAATGACCAATGATGTTTGACGTTGCACCCCCTGACCCCAACACTGTCCGTCCAGTGCTCTTTAAGTCCTGAGTAAACCAGTTGTATAACTTGTTCTCTCATTTTATCTCTTTGCAGGAGCCTAGCAATAAACGTGTCCGATCTCTGGCCCGGGTCACCTCCTTGGCAAACCTGATTTCGCCTGTACGAAATGGTGCAGTGCGTCGCTTCGGACAGACCATACAGGTAAGCGGGCCTGAGACGGAGATATGGAAGCGTGTATGTTCAAGGATCTTCTGATCCAGGCGGGACTCGGGTGCCAATCCCCCACCCCACCCCACCCCACCCCCGTGCCAGGACGTTTCCCTTTAAAGTCGCTTCCTAATCCTGGGGAATCTTTTTAAGAGGCGAGGAGGAACGAAGCCAAGTTGAGGACGTGAGTTTGTTTATTGGCTTCTTAGCCGTCTGTCCGACTCTAGTGGCTTGCACTTAAAATAGAAGAACAATGCAAAAAAAAAAAAAAACCATAAAAAAACCCACCCAATGTGTTGGAACAAAGTGCACCGCAAACAACTGCTTGTAGTATCACGGGCCGCCCCCCTGTCCCGAAACCTGGGAGAAGGGCCAGATTTTGGGGGGAAAAAATTCCGGAATATCGTCAAGTCTGTTTGGAAGATATCCTTTTGCTTTTACTCCTGCTTTAGAAGAATAGGGTTTGGGGCTTCGGAGAAGCAAACGGGGATTTCCACCTTCCTATAAAGACCGCTGGCTTCGAATTCTTAGGCCGCCGTTCAGCGCAGACCTGGAAAAAAACAGTATTTGCAGCTTTGTCGATCGGAAGGTCGGCAGTTCAGCGGTTCGAATCCCTAGTGCTGCGTAACGGGGTGAGCTCCCGTGACTTGTCCCAGCTTCTGCCAACCTAGCAGTTCGAAAGCACATAAAAATTGCAAGTAGAAAAATAGGGACCACCTTTGGTGGGAAGGGAACAGCGTTCCGTGCGCCTTTGGCGTTGAGTCATGCCGGCCACGTGACCACGGAGACGTCTTCGGACAGCGCTGGCTCTTTGGCTTTGAAACGGAGATGAGCACCGCCCCCTAGAGTCGGGAACCACTAGCACATATATGAGGGGAACCTTTTCTTAGAGTAGAGTTGCAGAATGACATTTCCCCTTCGGCTGCATCGTTTTGTAGGCCTCAACGCATCAAAAGCCCGGGCCAACCTCACATTGGGCCAGGCCCAGAGGGAGAAATGGGGGCATTTGAGACTGAAAAGCCACCTGGGACATATTGTAGCGGGGTTGAAACTTGGTTGTCCACCATGGGGACGTGTCCTTAGCAGAACCTTTTGTGTAAGATCTCCAACCTGCTTTCTCTAGGGTAAAGGTCTCCAAACCTGGCCACTTTTAAGACTTGTGGACTTCAATTCCCAGGATTCCCATGGCTGGCTGGGGAATTCTGGGAATTGAAGTCCACAAGCCTTAAAGTGGCCAGGTATGGAGACCTTTACCCTAAAGCAGTGTTTCTCAACCTTGGTAGCTTGAAGATGGGTGGACTTCAACTCCCAGAATCCCCCAGCCAGCAGCGCTGGCTGGGGGATTCTGGGAGTTGAAGTCCACCCATCTTCAAGCTACCAAGGTTGAGAAACACTGCCCTAGAGGGAACGATACCAAGCTTTGCTAGGACACTATTGCTGATATAGGTAGTCCTCAACTTACGACACTCATTTAGTAACCAAAGTTACAACAATGCTGAAAAAAGTGATTTACGGCCACACAACCGTGGCAGCATCCCGATAGTCACGCGATCAAAATGCAGATGTTCAGCAACTGGCTCACATTTATGACGGGTTGCAGCATTCAACTCCCAGAATTCCCTGCTCTAAAGTGACCAGTTGTAAGTTGAGAACTACCGACATACTTTCCTGAACCAGGATCCGATTCATTAAACCTGGATGCATTATGTTTGGTTTGACAAACTCCGAGAATCGGGCATGGCTGATGTTTCCACCTGTCCTATACCGTCTGCCCTTACCTGCTCGGGTGGAGACAGTTTGGACAGGAACCGAACCGCCTCTGCGGGTGGCCCAGAACGCAAAAAGGTTGAAAATAAACAGAATTTCTCACGCCCATCCCTGCTGACGGACCGTTTTTTTTTTCCCTTCCCTCCCCATTTGTTCCCTCCAGTCGTTCTCCCTTCGCGGCGGCGACAAATCCCCGGCGAGTGGTCAGAAGCCGTGCAGCCGGCTAACGGCCCCCACCCCACCCAAAAGAAGGAACAGCGTCCTCTGGTCCGAGACGTTGGATGTCACTATGAAGGAGACGCTGAGCACCAAGGAAATCAAACGCCAAGAGGTAAGGCTGGGCTCTGAGCCACAGGTACCCCCCACCATCACCACCTCCCCTGGTTCATGGACGACACTTTTAGGGTGCTAAAATTCTAAAAATGGAGAAAAAAAGGAAGTTTCCCCATTTTTACTGGAGGATGAGAAGATGGCTTAAGAAGGAGGCTCCAGTGAGTAAGCGGTAGTATTTCTGCATATCCTTCCACCCTTCCCACACCACCCCCAAGGCACGACATCATGTCCTCTGTCTTGATGAGTGAAGACGATAGTAATTTCGTGCTGCTAAGTAATTCGGAGAGCCAGTTTGCTCTACGAACCAGGAGTTGTGAATGCTAGTCCCACATTAGGCATAAAAGCCAGCTGGGTGACTTTGAGCCAATCACTAGGAGACAGTGAGTTCTAGTTCTGCCTTAGGCATGAAAGCCAGCTGGGTGACTTTGAGCCTTGGTGGTGCAGCGGACTAAAGTGCTGTTAAGTGCTAGCACTTAGCTGCCAGCTGCCCGCAATTAGTGCAAGTTCGAATCTCACCAGGCTCAAGGTTGACTTAGCCTTCCATCCTTTCGAGGTAGGTAAAATGAGGACCTGGATTGTGGGGGCAATAAGCTGACTTTGTATAAAGATACAAAAGTATGAAGGCTATTGCTTAACCCATTGTAAACTGCCCTGAGTCTCCGGAGAAGGGCGGCATATAAATCAAATTTTAAAAAAATTTGAAGGCTGCCACAAAGAAGAAGGGGTCAATCTATTCTCCAAAGTACCTGAAAGCAGAACAAGAGCCAATGCATAGAATCAAGGAGAGAAATATGAAAAACATAAGAATACATTTCTTGACAGAACAATTAATCAGTGGAACCACTGGCCTCCAGAAGTTGTGGCTGCTCTAACAGTGGAGATTTTCAAGAAGAGACCGGACAGCCATTTGTCCGATATGGTATAGGGTCTCCTGCCTGAGCAAAGGGCTGGACTAGAAGACCTCCATGGTCCCTTCCAATTCTGTGATTCTGTTTCTTAACCCCATTTGTGGTTCTTGTTTCTTGTCAGAAAGCATTTTACCAATCCGACAAATAATAACTAAACAAATTGAGCCGATTGTTCAGTCTCCCAAAGGTGAAGGCGCTTGTTATAATCTGGCCTTTCGGTTTTTTTCTTGTGCTTGCAGGCGATCTACGAACTTTCTCGGGGAGAGCAGGATCTGATCGAGGACCTGAAGCTTGCCAGAAAGGTAGGCCGCTCCCTGCTCTGTTGACTTTGATTGATAACTCTGCAGGTGACTCAGTTTCTTCAAAGAGATTCCAAGCCGCCAGTTAAAATGGGGTTTTTTTTTTCCCCCCTATGGCCTGGCCTCCTTCCTCCTCCTCCCTCCTCCCTCCTCCTCTTCCGAATAGCAGGACAAGAGAGTCTGTTGACTGTACAGGTAGTCCTCGACTTAACAACCACAAAGGAGAGCAGAATTTTTGCTGCTAAGCAGAGCAATGAAATGATTCATGGCTGATTTTTTTCCCCTGCTACAGTTGTTAATAAGCAAATGCGATTTCACTTTTGCTGCTTTTTTTTTTTTATTGCAAAACCAATCCCAGCAGTTAAAGTTAATCTGTCATTAAGCGAATCTTAAAAGTTGCCAAGATTGGAGACCCCTGATCCAAACTGGCGGGGAATACTTTCATCCCCAAAAACAGAGGTGGCTGTGAAGGAATTCCCATACGGATAGTCCTCCACTTATGGCCACAATTGAGCCCCAATTTCTGTTGCTAAGTGAAACACCTGCAATGCTGGCTGGGGAATTCTGGGAGTTGAAGTCCACCCATCTTGAAGCTGCCATTCCCATCAGAAGTCTCCCAGCTAGAGATCCAACTTTTGGCTAAGAGGGTGACCTCTCCCTTTCTCTTATCTCCAGGCTTACCACGACCCCATGTTGAAGCTGTCCATCATGTCCGAAGAGGAACTGAGCCACATCTTTGGAGATCTGGATTCCTACATCCCCTTGCACGAAGGTAAAAACGCCCGGCCCTTCCCTAGCCGAATCAGGGTTTCTTCAACGTCCCGAATGGCTTGAGGCCGGACCCACCCAGGGTGTGACTCAGAAAGGAAAAAATGGATCCAGGAACATGTATCACTGTACAAATAGTTTCACGCTCCATTAAAAGAAAACTGTAAAAAAAACCCCCCCCCCCCCCCCAAAAAAAAAAACTCAGAATAGTTACGGATAAAGCGATATCTGTAAGGAAAAGCTACCTACAAGAGCTCAGAGGGGTTGTGAACTAACCAACTATCAATGGTGGCTTCTCCAGCCGTTTTTTATTTTCTAAATTCTTTTATGATTTATTATCATTTATTCTTACGATCTTCTTTTATTTCCGCCCCTTTTATTGGCATTGTTTCTGTACCGGAGATAAATTCCTTGTGTGCGTGATCACGCTTGGCCAAATAAAACATTCAAATTCAGATTTTATCTGCAAGATATGGATGGTTGAAGGAGATATATTGCTCTGGTCTGGTGCCAGCAGGGCTGAATCACGCCTGGATCCTGAATTCAAGCTTATTTCCATGTAGCATTTCAAGTTAATTCAAACTTCACTCCTTCAGTGTAATTACAGGTAGTCCTCGACTTATGACCGGTTGCTTAACGACCGTTCACAGTTACGGCCTCACCTGAAAAGGAGACACGACTGCTCTTCGGGTTGCTCGGCAACACGGCCACAATTCCTTAATTTGCAGCATCCCACGGTCACATACAGGTAGTCCTCGACTTACGACCCACAACTAGAACCCCAAATTTATGTTGCTAAGTGAGACATGTGTTCAGTGAGTTCTGTCCCATTTTACAACTTTTCTTGGCACATTTGTTAATGGAATCAATGCAGTTGTTAAGTGAGTCACATGGTGGTTAAGTGAATCTGGCTTCCCTTAATCGACTTCGCTGGTGAGGTCGCAAAAGGGGATCACATGACCCCGGGATACTGCCACCGTCATAAATGTGAGTCAACTGTTAAGCATCCGAATCTAAATCACTTGACCGCAGGGATGCTGCAGTGGTCATAAGTGTGAAAAACGGTCATAAATCACTTTTTCAGTGCCGTAACTTGGAATGGTCACTAAATAAACGGTTGTAAGTTGAGGACTATCTGTCATTGCATTTCATGACACTCTGGTTTTTGACGAAACCACACCCACAGTGAACAGTGGATTCACACTTACGACCGTTGCCACATTCGCTTTAAAAACCACCGCAAGAAACATAACATCAGGTCGGCCACACGATCGACTCGTTTTACGGTTGTGACGACTTAATGACCGTAATGGGGCAGGCTCCATTACGGTTATAACCGAAGGACTTACCTGTATTTAATCCTTGCATTAAAATTTTAAAAGGTCCATTCCTTTTGAGGGGGTTTGATTGAATCTCTTCCAGCGTGTTTGCCTTTTTCCCCAATTCTCCTTTTTCCCTTTTCCCTTACAGACTTCCTGGAAAAACTGGGGCAGGTGACCCGGCCGGATGGGACGGTGGAGCAAATCGGACCCATTCTTGTGGAATGGGTGAGTGAATCCTCCCAACCTCCCCCCCCCTCCGCTTAACGCCTGCCGGTCATTATTTTATTCGGCTTCCGGATCTCGCTGAGTTTTCCGCTCAATTTAGTTATTCATTTATTGAGAAGATTTACCTGGCTGCCCGCTCACTCTTGTTGACTCTGGGCGGCCCCGATCCCTGTTGGTAAAAACAAAAAATGCAGAATAGTTAGATCCCTGATCCCTCTTCATTAAGAGGCTTCTGCTTCTGTTTCTTCTCCTTCTGCTTCTTCTTCTTCTCCTTCTGCTTCTGTTTCTTCTTCTGCTTCTTCTTCTACTCCTTCTTCTTCTACTCCTTCTGCTTCTTCTTCTGCTTCTGTTTCTTCTGCTTCTGCTTCTCCTTCTGCTTCTTCTGCTTCTCCTTCTGCTTCTTCTTCTACTTCTGCTTCTTCTGCTTCTCCTTCTGCTTCTGCTTCTTCTGCTTCTCCTTCTGCTTCTCCTTCTCCTTCTGCTTCTTGCTTCTTCTACTTCTACTGCTTCTTCTTCTCTCCTTCTGCTTCTTCTTCTTCCTTCTGCTTCTGTTTCTTCTCCTTCTGCTTCTGCTGCTGCTTCTTCTACTTCTACTGCTTCTTCTTCTTCTCCTTCTGCTTCTTCTGCTGCTTCTTCTACTTCTACTGCTTCTGCTGCTTCTTCTGCTTCTGTTCTTCTTCTGCTTCTTCTTCTACTCTTTTCTTCTACTCCTTCTTCTCCCTCTGCTTCTTCTACTTCTACTGCTTCTGCTACTTCTGCTTCTCCTTCTGCTTCTTCTGCTTCTTCTACTTTTGCTTTGCTTCTTCTCCTTCTGCTTCTTCTTCTTCTCCTTCTGCTTCTGTTTCTTCTCCTTCTGCTTCTGCTGCTGCTTCTTCTACTTCTACTGCTCTTCTTCTTCTCCTTCTGCTTCTTCTTCTTCTCCTTCTGCTTCTGTTTCTTCTCCTTCTGCTTCTGCTGCTGCTTCTTCTACTTCTACTGCTTCTTCTTCTCCTTCTGCTTCTTCTGCTGCTTCTTCTACTCTACTGCTCTGCTGCTTCTTCTTGCTTCTGTTTCTTCTTCTGCTTTTCTTCTACTCCTTCTTCTTCTACTCCTTCTTCCCTCTGCTTCTTCTACTTCTACTGCTTCTGCTTCTGCTTCTCCTTCTGCTTCTTCTGCTGCTTCTTCTACTTCTACTGCTTCCTTCTCCTTCTGCTTCTTCTGCTTCTGCTTCTCCTTCTGCTTCTTCTTCTCCTTCTGCTTCTACTTCTTCTGCTTCTGCTTCTCACCCTCCTCCTCCTCTTCTCTTTCCTCCTCCTCTCCCTCTTCATTAAGAGGCTCATCTTCTCTTTCTCCTTCTTTTCCTCCCCTGCTCCTTTTTCCTCTTCCCCCTCTTCCTCTTCTTTCTCTTTTTCTCCTCCTTCCTCCTTCCCCCTTTTCCTCCTTCCCCCCTTCCTCTTCCCCTCCTCCTCTGCCTAAATTTGGGCAACTGCTCAGCTTAAATCTGCAAGGCCCTAGTTCCAGAAAGAGCCAGTGTCCCCACCCCTGCCACCAAGCCTGGTCTTCTCACAAGCGTGGCCTTCTCTTCCTCCCCAGCTCCCCGGGCTGAACGCCTACAAGGCCTACTGCAGCAACCAGCTGGCAGCCAAAGCCCTCCTGGACCAGAAGAAGCAGGATGCCCGAGTCCAAGACTTCCTGCAGCGTTGCCTGGAATCTCCTTTCAGCCGCAAGCTGGACCTCTGGAGCTTCTTGGACATTCCTCGCAGTCGCCTGGTCAAGTACCCGCTCCTCTTGAAGGAGATCCTCCGGCACACGCCCAACGATCACCCCGATGTCCAGAGTCTGGAAGAAGCAGTAAGGGGCTACGCTTTGCTCCCTCTGGGTTTCAGATATAGGGGGAAAGTGGGGTCCTGGGTGCTTTTCTCAGCTTGGTGGTTTTCTTGCAGACGTTTCATGACCCCACTAGGGAACATCATCAGTGCTAGAAGGGAGTGGGGTTTGTGGAGAGAAGGAGGAGGAGGAAGAAAAGGAGAAGAAATGAAGGGGAGGGAGGAAGAAGGAAGGAGAGGAGGAGGGGGGACTGTGGGGTCCTTGTTGCTCTTCACAGCTTGGTGATTTTCTTGCAGACGTTTCATGACCCAACTAGGGAACATCATCAATGCTACCAGTAGTAGGGAGTGGGGTTTGAAAAAAGAGGAGGTGATGCTCTTCTGAGCTTGGTGGTTTTCTTGCAGACGTTTCATGACCCCGCTAGGGAACATCATCAGTGCTAGAAGGGCATGGGGTTTGTGGAGTGGAGGAGGAGGAGAAAGGATGAAAAGGAGGAGGAATGAAGGGGAGGAAGAAGGAAGGAGAGGAGGAGGAGGAGGACCGTGGGGTCCTTGTTGCCCTCTACGCTTGGTGGTTCTCCTGCAGACATTTCATTACCAAACTAGGTAACGTCCTCAGTGCCAGCGTTCAGCGTTTAGTCTGGCAGCGCTTCCTTTCCTGCGTCTCCCCCATCCTTATCGACGGATGCTTTCCTCCTAGATCTGCCTCATCCAAGGAGTCCTCTCGGACATCAACTTGAAGAAAGGAGAATCGGAATGCCAATACTACATCGATAAGCTGGAATACCTGGATGAGAAGCAGCGGGACCCACGGATCGAAGCCAGCAAAGTGTTGCTTTGTCACGGGGAGCTGAAGAACAAAAACGGGCATGTAAGTAGAAATGGGGGAACCGCAGACATCTGGGAGCTAAGAGTGCCTAAGGGGGTGGCCTAGAAACTAGGAGACGGTGAGTTCTAGTCCCACATCGGGCATGAAAGCCAGCTGAGTGACTTTGGGCCAATCACCAGGTAATGGTGAGTTGTAGTCCCGCCTTAGGCACGAAAGCCAGCTGGGTGACTTTGAGCCAGTCACCAGGTGATAGTGAATTCTAGTTTCACCTTAGGCATGAAAGCTAAGTGAATTGACACCAATCACCAGGAGGTTGTGAGTTCTAGTCCTGCCTTAGGCATGAAAGCCAGCTGAGTGACTTTGGGCCAATCACCAGGTAATGGTGAGTTGTAGTCCCGCCTTAGCCATGAAAGCTACCTGAGCGACTTTGGGCCAATCACCAGGTGACAGTGAATTCTAGTTTCACCTTAGGCATGAAAACTGACTAAATGAATTAGGCATGAAAGCCAGCTGAGTGACTTTGGGCCAATCACCAGGTGATGGTGAATTCTAGTCCCGCCTTAGGCATGAAAGCCAGCTGGGTGACTTTGAGCCATTCACCAGGTGATAGTAAATTCTAGTTTTACCTTAGGCATGAAAGCTGACTAAGTGAATTGACACCAATCACCAGGAGGTTGTGAGTTCTAGTCCCGCCTTAGGCATGAAAGCCAGCTGGGTGACCTTGGACCAATCAGCTATAACTACCTCCGAATTCCATATTTGTAATAAAGATGAGATTTTAAAAAAAAAACCAAAATAAATTCTTGAAGATGAGCCCAGAAAACAAGGCCGGGCAGCCTCTGTTCCTCAATTTCTTATCAAAAGATCTATAATCCCATAAAAGTAAGGATCCTGTGCCTTCTGCTATGTGCCCTTTATTTCTTCTCCTTTATAAAAACTCAAGAGAACACTGTCTCCCCCATGTCAGCCTTGGCGCCACTTGAGCCCGAGTTGAGGTTGGGCCTTAAGTCCATTTAAAGGCACCAGCCTGGCACTCGGAGACAGAGAGCGGAGCTGGTAGCTGTCCAGTTTCCAGATGGCTGGGACGTAATTCACAATTTGACTTTTGCAGAGGGGGGTGGGGGGGAGAGATGCATTCCTGGTGGGATAATTCACTTTATTAAGTGGCCTTCTGGGCCCGCAGCATCAGGTGGGAGGAAAATTAAAGACTGTTCCATCAATATTTACTTAGGGCTGCTTTGCAGAAATAAAAGATGGGAGTTCAGAGGGTCATTTTTTTAAAAATCTTTTGTCTCGGCTATAAACATTACATGTTCTCGTTGGTCACTTTCATCTCTTCCATTATAGGGTTTTTTTTTTAATCCTTCCGTTAGGTCTTTATCATAACAAAATTATTTAGGCAAAGTCTTTAGCAAGAACTGGCAGCTTGAAGACTGGTAGGAGAACGCATGGGTCACATTTGGCACATCCTATGCTTTGCAGGCCAGCTAGAGTGGTGCTTTTCAAACATTTTTAAGACGTGTGAACTTCTAACATCCAGAATTCCCCAGCCAACTTGCTTTAAGATGAGTGGACTTCAACTCCCAGAATCCCCCAGCCGGCATGTTTTAAGATGGGTGGACTTCAACTCCCAGAATCCCCCAGCTGGCATGTTTTGAGATGGGTGGACTTCAACTCCCAGAATTCCCCAGCCGGCATGTTTTAAGATGGGCAGACTTCAACTCCCAGAATCCCCCAGCCAGCAGGCTTTGGACTTCAACTCCCAGAATTCCCCAGCTGGCATGTTTTAAGATGGGCAGACTTCAACTCCCAGAATTCCCCAGCCGGCATGTTTTAAGATGGGCGGACTTCAACTCCCAGAATCCCCCAGCTGGCATGTTTTGAGATGGGTGGAATTCAACTCCCAGAATCCCCCAGCCAGCTTCCTTTAAGATGGGTGGACTTCAACTCCCAGAATTCCCCAGCCAGCAGGCTTTGGACTTCAACTCCCAGAATTCCCATTCCATACATTGCCTTTGGCAGGATGGCTGTGTGCATGCCGGCTGCAGAATTCTGGGAATTAAAGTCCACGAGTCTTCAAGCTGCCAAGGTTGGACCCCTCCCCCTAATCTAAAAGAAATATTTTGTAATTAAAAGATGAAATTTCTTTCAAAGGGCTGGCAGCAGAATGCTCCAAAACCTTTCCATTGATGTAAAAAATATACATGGTGAACTTGAGTTCCCTCTCTTTGATGGTGGCTGAATTTCACTTAAAACTTCCTCTCTCTCCTCTTTCCAGAAGCTTTACATCTTCCTTTTCCAAGAAATCCTGGTCCTCAGCCGGCCCGTCACGCGGAACGAGCGCCATTCTTACCAAGTGTATCGGCAGCCGATCCCGGTACAAGACCTGGTGCTGGAGGACTTGCAAGATGGAGACGTCAAAATGGGCGGGTCGTTCCGAGGTGCCTTCGGCAATTCGGATAAAGGTAGGGAGGAAGGTTCCAATATTGGGGGGTTTGGGGGGCCAGAGAAGAGGGGGTCGATCTGTTCTCCAAAACACCTGAGGGCAGGACGGGATGGAAGCTTGTCAGAGAGAGGAGCAACCTAGAATTGAGGAGAAAAGTAAGAACAATTAAGCAGTGGAACTCCTTGCCTCCAGAAGTTGTGGATGCTCCATCACTGGAGCTTTTCAAGAAGAGTTTTGACAGCCATTTGTCCAGAATGGTATAAGGACTCCTGCTTGACCACAGAGTTGGACTAGAAGACACCCACGGTCCCTTCCAAGAAAAAACAACCCCCTTCTTCTTTAGCCTGCCATTAATCAAGAGGCTATTCTGAAGAGGGGAGCTTCTGAATTCTGCAACGTCATTTACAAAATTGGGCCCTCTCCGAGTTTCCCCAGACATCCCGATCCCACTTTTTCCTCTACATGACGCATTCTTTCCTGGGTCCCTAAAAGCAGCAGTCAGACACCCTCTAGATTCCTACGCCTAAAAGCCCATCTCCCTCAAAAGATCCTCTTCTCAGGACCTTTCGGCAAGAGATTCCCAACCAGGAGCCACACCTGAGGTGGCCTTCAAGAGTTGACCAGAACATCCTTCCCTCCTTGTCCTGAAAGTTTTCAGAAAGCAACTGGACCGTCTTGGTGTTTGTTCTCTTGGCTTCTCGTCCCAGAAGGTTCTTCAGTTCTAACATCAGTTCTAGAGTGTCTTCCATTCTAGAGCTGCTTCGCTTCTAACATCAGTTCTAGAGTGTCTCCTGTTCTAGAGCTGCTTCAGTTCTAGCATCAGTTCTAGAGTGTCTTCCGTTCTAGAGCTGCTTCGCCTCTAACATCAGTTCTAGAGCTGCTTCAGTTCTAACATCAGTTCTAGAGTGTCTCCCGTTCTAGAGCTGCTTCAGTTCTAACATCAGTTCTAGAGTGTCTTCTGTTCTAGAGCTGCTTTGCCTCTAACATCGGTTCTAGAGTGTCTTCCGTTCTAGAGCTGCTTTGCTTCTAACATCAGTTCTAGAATGTCCCGTTCTAGAGCTGCTTCAGTTCTAACATCAGTTCTAGAGTGTCTTCTGTTCTAGAGCTGGTTTGCTTCTAACATCAGTTCTAGAGTGTCTTCTGTTCTAACATCAGATAAGAACTGAAGGGACTTCTTGGACGAGAAGCAGAAACATTTTGAAACTGGGATTTCTTGGTGGTGGCTGCTGTTTTTCTTTCAGAACGTTCCGCTTCTCACCCAAGAAGCCGCCTTCGGTTCTAGAATCATTTCTAGAACTCCCGTTCTGACATCCATTCTAGAACGTCTTCCGTTCTGACCTCCGTCGAAACGGAAGAAGCTCCTTGGACGAGAAGCAAAACCTTTTCGAAGAACATAAGGAAGCCCGGTGGCCTTTTTTGGGGGGCGGAGGTAGGGGGTGGAATTCCCATTGGGACAACCTTGATCTGGATGATGGAGCATCTCCATAAACCTCCTTCTTCATCTTCTCCTCCTTGCTTGCTTTTCCAGCCAAGAACATTTTCCGGGTCCGTTTCCGGGACTCCTCCTCGGGCCAGTCCCACACGCTGCAGGCCAACGACATCTTCCACAAGCAGCAGTGGCTCAGTTGCATCCAGGCGGCCATCGCGCCCTTCCAGCCGAGCCCCGTGCCTTTCGAGATGAAGGACCTGCCCGAGCTGAGCGAGGAAGGCGAAGAGAACCAACCCTTCGGCTCCAACGCCAAGATCCAAAGGAGGCAGCCTTCCGCCTCGGGCAGTTTCCGCATGGAGCTGGGCGAGAACGGCTCCGAAGCCGACGTGGCGGGAGAGATGAAGAACGTCAAAACTTACCGGATGCATTCGGCGCTCAGGAGAAACAGGGACAAAAGCCAGACCAGCGTCAAACGGAAAGAGACTCTGGTTTAAATAGCGGGAGCGAACGGCTTCCTCGCTCTTTAATTTATAAATAAAGTGTACATTTTCTTTCCTGTAATGTGAGAATGGTGAAGGGTCTGTTGTTCTCTCTTTGTTGGTCTTTTTGTGTTACATGTGAGTCTTTCTTTCTTTCTTTCTTTCTTTCTTCCTTCCTTCCTTCCTTCCTTCCTTCCTTCCTTCCTTCCTTCCTTCCTTCCTTCCTTTTTCTTTCTTTTTTTTTTTAAAGGCAGCTACTGGTTTTTCCGCAAACGTTGTTGAACCGGCGTCTCATCCCGTGGGTGGGTCGAAATTAAGGGCTCGATTTCTGGATTGCAACAGCAGACTCCGGAGGTCCCGATCCCTTCTGTACATAGTGTTAATATCGGGAAGGAAAAGCGCTCTCCAAAAGGCTGCAAAGGTGTTAAAATTGCCTTCCCAAATACAAATCAGCTCTTTAAAAAAAAAAAAAAAACAGTTCATTTGGGGGGAGGGGAATAATTGGAATTTTGGAGGGGTTTTGTGACTCTCAATGACTTTGATTCTCTGAACAGAAGTCGTCCAATTATCAGCTTTTCTTCTAAAGCAGTGTTTCTCAACTGCTCTAAATTGAAACACTGCTCTAAATTGACATGGTCTATTGTGTTCCTCACAAAAAGACCCCGGGTTCAACGCGTTTCCATTTGAATGACTGGAATTCTACACTTGGTGGTGTGCTTTCCTTCCTGCGAATTGCTACGCCACGTATTTAATCTTTGTTTTTGTTTTTTGTTTTTTTAAATATTATTTGAATACTTTTGTAGACCCTTTCCTTTTTGTACTTTGATTCCTGTGTCGTTTCTTTCTCAAAACTCACCCTTTTTCCCCCCTTCCCCTTTTCTTGATGCATGAGTGCTGGTATATATATGTATATATATATATATACTATTTGTGATTCAAACCGAAAAGCCAATTCAGACCGTTTCAAACCGGTTGAAACCAAGCCATAGAATAACTCGAGACATTGGAAGGAGGGGAAAAAAACAGACCGGTGTCCCCACTTTTCCAACCGATCTGGGATTCGGGGGCGGCCTTTTGAATCGATCTGAGGAGAGAAAATTTCCGTGTCCAAGGTAGAGCTCCGGTGGTCAGGAATTGGCTATCTTTAAATAAGGAGGGAGACTGAAGTTGGTTGAGAATGTAGCAATTGGGGAAGGTTGACTCCAGCAAGGCTGAATTGCAACTGCTGGAAGAAAGTGAAGGAAGAAGAAGGGGTTATCGAAGATGTGAATAAAGGGACCAAGTTTGCGATTAAAAAGGGGACAAAAGTCTCTTGAAAGGCATCAAAAGATGCAGCCGTTGCGGGAAGCAGGGAAAAGCACGTCGTAAAGAGGGTTAGCGAGGGGTTTGTTACTGTGTTGGGAACGGGGAAGGATAAATACGGATGTTGGGTTTTACTGGCAATTCTCTCCCGAGGATTGGATCTCCAGGTGGGAGATCTTGCTCAAAACGCAAGAGCTGTCCAAAAGAATGAATGAATAAATAAAAATAAAGCCGCCGCAGCCCACTTGAAAAAAGACCTCCCCAAAATTGGCCCAGTAAGAAGTTTAAAAAAAAAAAAAATAGTGTGAGTTTTTGGGTTTTTTTTTTTTAAAATTCTGGTGCCGAAAGGCACCTGGGCCAGCGTTGAGGGTGGGTAGGGGTTGAAGCCCCTGCGAGCAAATGTAAATAAGAGAATTACCAAAGCTCTGTAAATGTTTCCTTGTACAGTAACATGAAATGGAAAATTAACGATTAAAAGCTCATTATCGCATCGATCCTTGCGTGGGCCTCTCTTTGATTCGGGGGGGACGAGTGGGAGGAGGGGGTGTTTTGTGGGTTCAGATTTATTTATTTATTGGTTCGATTTTATATGCCGCCCTTCTCCGGAGACTCAGGGCAGCTTACAATGCTTTTAAGCAATAGCCTTCATACTTTTGTATATACCTGCTTAGTAGGGCTTTCGGGCACCCCTAAGCGGAGTTCTTTTTTATACAAAGTCAGCTTATGGCCCCCACAATCCGGGTCCTCATTTTACCTACCTCGAAAGGACGGAAGGCTGAGTCAACCTTGAGCCTGGTGAGATTCGAACTTGCAGTAATTGCAGGCAGCTGGTGTTACTTAACAGCACTTTAGTCTGCTGCGCCACCAAGGCTCAGATGTTCCGAAGATCTTCAAAGCTACATATGTTTTAATTTTTAGGGTCACGGCAACCCAGGCATGGCGCCCAGCCTTTGGAAGGGGGGGGGATTTGTTGAGTTGCAGTTCAACCCGAGGAGCAAAAACGCAACTTAACAGTAACAAGAGTTGGAAGGGACCTTGGAGGTCATCTAGTCCAACCCCCTTCTCACGCAGGGATTCGAACTGCCGACCTTTCTAATCGAAAGTGTCTTAGCCTCCTGGATAAATCTGGGAAAGGCAGCCAAGTGCAGCCCTCGCTTCTATTCAGGTTTTATTGGACAGCCGTACAGCTTTCGCTAACGTCAGTACAGGTAGTCCTCGACTTAACGACATTAAACCTCGTTTAGTGACCTTTCAGAGTTACGGCACCTGAATAAAGTGACTTATGGCCGTTTTTTTCACAGTTACGACCTTTGCAGCTTCCTCCCGTGATCTTGGGACCGAAATTGAGATGCTCGGCAACTGATTCGTACTTAACGACGGTCGCAGCGTCCCGGGGTCGCGTGATCCCCTTTGGCGTGACAAGCCACGTCAATGTGGCAAGCCAAATTCATTTCACGACCGTGTGACTAACTTAGCAACTGCTGTGATTCGCTTAGCAACGGTGGCAAGAAAGGTCGTAAAATGAGGCGAAACTCACTTAACAAATGTCTCACTTAAGAGCAGGGATTTTGGGTTCAATTGTGGTCGTAAGTCGAGGACTACCTGTAGGTCCTGGGCAGTGGGGGATAGTCTTCCATTTACTACCGCAATTGGGAATAAAACTCGTGTTGCTAAGCAAAGCAGTTTTGAAAGCTGGCGGCACACAGTTTTACCTTTTTTTTTTTTTTTTGCTGTAAGTAAATCACTACAGTTGCTGAATGAATTACAGGCAGTCCTCGTCTTAAAACCGTTCATTTAGTGACTGAAGTTACAACGGCACTGAAAAAAGGGACTTGGGACCAATTTTTACACTTTTTTTGACATGATGGATGATATGGAGTTGAGAGACATAGGGCGTGAACGAAATTTTAAAGAACAGGATTTTACTTTTTTTTTCTGATAGGCACCCATCTTTTTCTAGAATTGATTTTATAATAATTATAAATGATTTTCTTTCCAGGGTAAAGAAGACAAAGATATGTCCAAGAACTTTAACAGACCATAATCCGGTGTGGATGGAATTAGAGTTTGGGGAGGGGTCTAGGAGATCTTGGAGACTGAATGAAAACTTATTTCAATATGAGACAAATGTGATAGAATGTAAAAAGTTAATGAAAGAATTTTTTTTTAAAATGTGCATAAGGGTACACCTGTGGAAATGGTATGGGGTGCAAGTAAAGCATATATGAGAGGAGTTTTAATAAATTTGAATAATTCCTACAGACATAGGGGAAAAAACGGAGGGAATTGGAAGAGGAAATAAAAAAGAAGGAACAGGCGTTCGTGGATAAACCAGATGACAAGAATATAAAAGAAGCCATTACAATATTGCAAGGACAGTTTAATATGTTGATGTCAGATCAAGTTGCAACGAACTTGCAATATGCTAAGCATAATACCTTTTGCAATGCAAATAAACCAGGCAGGTGGTTAGCATATATGTTAAGGAAAAAACAAAAATCTCGTACAGTTCCTATGTTCATGTAATGGAAATGCAGATACTTGGAAACTGACTCACATTTATGACAGTCACAGTGTCCCGGGGTCACATGATCCCCTTTTGCGACCATTAATCTGACCATTAAAGTCAATGGGGAAGCTAGATTCACTTAACAACCATATGACTAATTTAACTGCAGTGATTCATTTAACAAACATGGCACAAAAAGTCCTAAAATGGCCCAAACCTCAATGAACAAATATTTCACTTTGCAACAAAAATTTGTGGTCGTAAATCGAGGACTCCCTGTATGCAGATATTAAGCAGATCCATTAAATTTTGCTTGTCCAAAGCTGGCTGGGAAGGTCACAAATTACGATCACTTGACACACACACCCCCCATGCGGCTTCAACCATCGTAAATGCATGCCGGTGGCCCAAGAGCCCAAATTTTGATCCCTTGGCTGTCAGGAATGTTACAACGGTTGTAAGTACAAGGATTGTTCTGAAGTTCCTTTTCCCAGTGCTGTCGTAATTTCGAAAAGCTGCTTAATGAATCGGTTTTAAATTGAGAATTACCTGTATTGATTCTGGTGGTTTGAAGGCCATCAATGAAGGCAGATTTGCTTAAAAGATCTAAATCTGGAGGGATTTTTATCCCAGACACGGAATTAAAAAGGGTTGGGCAGTTTGCAAATGAGAAAGAAAAAAAAACCTTGGCCATTTGTTTAGGATACGGTTTATTTCTCTGGATAGGTAGGGCACGTTTGCTAAACGTTGCTGTGATTTATTAACTCGGCTTTAGGGTGAAGTCTGGCGTCATCCTGATACACGGACAATCCTCAGCCTCCTGGAAAACTTTTTACTATGCGTCCATCTTGATAAGAAATCTCGGCAAATAACCGCTAAGCCTCATTACTCAGTCCATTGTGCAATCCCCTTTCTGGATACGGAGCTCGGATTACGAGATTTTATCCGATCCATTTTGCTATTTCTCCTTTTGAACTTTCAATAGTGACATCTGTTTACATTCTCTTTTACCCGCGTTTCCCTGAAAATAAGATCCAGTTCTTACATATAATTTTTTTTTTTTTGCTACCAAAAAAGGCACCAGGTCTTATTTTCAGGGGATGTCTTTCAGTAGTGTTGTGGCCCATACGCAGCCTGTGCGGCTGGTGGCTGATTCTGACAGCGAGGAGGCTGGTGTGGTGCTGGGCCAGCAGCCTGTGCAGCTGTCACTCGAGTCGGACAGTGAGGAGGCTGGAGAAGATGTGGTGCCAGAGGCGGGGATTCAGCCAGGGCCTTCAGAACTTCCAGAAGCTCCCTTAAGTGAAGAAGACGAAGAGGAGGAGCCTCTTCTCGATGCACAGGCGCACAGAGCTGCCAAAAGGCAGGAGTGGCTCCTCAGGAGGAGGTCTCCTCGAGAGTAAGGGGCTAATTGGCCACTCCCTTAGCCTATTTAAGGAGGAACACCGACTGAAGCAATTTGTAGGGAACAACTTTAGTTCATTCTCCTTCGCGTCTGGATTCTCTGCAAATTGCTTCTGGGCTTTCTGCCAACCTTAGTAAGATTGTGATTACTTTATCTTTGATTTCTTGTAGGCTGTTAAGAAAGTTAATTAACAGCCTTTGTTTGGAAAAAAAAACTGATTTAATTTAGTAAACTAAGGTTTGTACAGACTTCGTGTGTGCTGCGTTCTTTGGGGTCCGTAGCTGGGGCAGAACAAGTAGTGGGTTTCACTTACTTTTGCTACCAGTTCGGAACTGTGAACGTGCGTCCATGCTCGCTTTGCACGCACGCGGCACTTCTGCGTGTGCGCAGAGCATCCGTGATGACCTCCAGCATTGTCCGAACCAGGGCGAACCGGTAGAAACCTACCACTGATGTCTTCCACTGACTCACCTCGCGGCGGCAGCACCGACAGCCTGGCCCAGCAGGAACCCGCTGCCGGTCCACTTTTTCTGCAGTCGCTTGTTGCCACTTGCGCACGTCAACCCCGGCCTCCGTTTTGCTGTCAGAAAGCCTTCAGGGAAAGGCCTTTGCAGCCAAGAAACAAGGTCCAGATTGGCGCAGATTTATTTATTTATTTTATTTATTATTCGTATTTCTATGCCCCAACGATGCCCTTGAAGTGATGTCCCGGTGCCTGGAGGCCGTACGGATCTGGATGGGAAGGAACAGGCTCAGGCTCAACCCATCCAAGACCGAGTGGCTGTGGTTTTCGACGTCCCGATATAGTCAGTTGGCGCCATCACTGACTATTGGGGGCAAATCATTGGCCCCCACGGAGAGGGCTTGCAACTTGGGCGTCCTCCTGGATTCACGGCTATCTTTAGAAGAGCACTTGACGGCCGTGACCGGGAGGATTTTTCATCAGGTTCGCCTAATTCGCCAGTTGCATCCCTTTCTGGATCGGGACGCCTTATGCACGGTCACTCATGCCCTCGTCACCTCCCGCCTGGACTATTGCAATGCTCTCTACATGGGGGTCCCCTTGAGGAGGACGCGGAGGCTCCAACTGGCGCAGAGTGCGGCCGCGCGGGTGGTAATGGGAGTGACATGGCGCTCCCATGTAACACCTTTCCTGCACGAGCTGCACTGGCTCCCGGTGGTCTTCCGGGTGCGCTTCAAGGTTTTGGTTACCACCTTCAAAGCGCTCCATGGCTTAGGACCTGGTTATCTACGGGACCGCCTACTACCACCAATAGCCTCCCACCGGCCAGTACGCTCTCATAGAGAGGGACTCCTCCGGGTGCCGTCAGCCAAACAGTGTCGACTGGCGGCCCCTAGGGGGAGAGCCTTCTCTGTGGGGGCACCTACCATCTGGAATGAGCTCCCCCCGGAGATACGGAGGATCCCGGATCTGCGCACCTTCCGCCGCGCTGTGAAGACTTTTTTATTCCACCAGGCAGGCTTGGCCTAATCTCTTCCCTCTTTTTAATATGTAAATTTTAATCTGTTTTTAAATTATTGGGGTGTTTTAATTTGTCTGGGCCGAAATGATTTAATTTGAT